AAGCCACAACCAGCAAATTAACAACGTCTACGGTGGTCCATTGTCTGCAGTTCTTGGGTGAGAGCAATTTTATATGAATGCAAGCTCAAATAATTTCTCRAAATCCGCTAGGTTGTAGTTTGAGACTGTTAMAATTCTTGAGAACTGCTTGGAGTCCACAAACGACAGCAATATTTGCGTTAACTCGAGCGATTCTTTGTCTTAATAGCACTTGAATATTGTGTGAAGAAAATGTACACTCAAAGTTTTCAACAATAACATTTTTAACCATAAAATGGCAAAAGCTAATGAAAAGTTGTAATTAGAAAACGATTATTTTGATAAAAATTTGAATAATTTCTAATGAAAACAATTACAGATCTTGGCATATTAAAAATGCCTGAAGCGACACTTCGAAAACCGGTAGTATCAATTTGACTTCGTTTCAATACTATATTCTCATTTATAACATAAATAGAAAATATAAAAAACCGTGTTTATTGATTAAAATACCTCTGGTGTATTAATGAGGAGGAAGTGAAGTGCAGTGTATGTGACTAAAGTTCATGACTTGTATAAAATAAGAATCTCAAGATAATCTATAACTAATTGCAAATAAGTAGAACATCCATATACAAGTAGTCCATATCTAAACTATATAAATAAATACTGCATGAACTAACGAAGAAATTAATAATTATTTACTTATGGGCCAACTTCAGYGCACAGTTATTTTTATATGCGGGGCGTATTGAGTAACTTTGTGAAAGCAAGCGCAAAATAAACGGGCCCCCTTATTGTTAGCAATACAGATTTTAAGCAAAACAAACTACAAACTTTCAAACAAGTCGCAGTTATCGAAACCGCACAACTCATAAAACCTTTTCATAATAAAGGGTTGTACGATTACACGTACACAAGATTTTGGGTTGAAATTGCCAATTGGTTTTTCAAGCAAATTAAAGAAGCTTTTACAAAGTCTCGGATAGCACTGTTGGGTAGTTAACCGGTGACACTTAACCGCTTGGTAGCTTGTACGGCCTCTTTTCTCTTAGTTCTCTCAAAACACTTATTTTTTTCGCTTTAATAGGATAGAGAATTCAACAAACACATGAAATTTAAAATGAAATATGTTATTTGAAATATATTATCGAAAATTGGAGTTTTTGTATAATCAATTCGAAATAAAGAGAAAATAACATTTGTTTAATCAAAACAAAAATTACAGCATGGAAAGGTTAATTTGCTGTGAAATATGGGACAGCAAAAACTGTTAATCAAAGAAAAAAACTTCGATTACCTACAACTTTGCAATATAACAKTTTTCCAAAGAACTCGTATTTTTAACTGAAATCGAAATAAACCCTTCTTTAATACGCTTTTATTAGCTTTGCTTGTATGTATGTATGTATGTTTGTAACTTTTTTTGCCCATAAAAATTAAACCCTTCTCACCTCTTCCTCTTCCCGACCTCAAATCTTCCGTAAATTATTTTTCTTTTTTTTAACTTTCTTTTCCAATTCAATACTTTTTGATTTTGATGTTCTTTTTTTTTATATGAATCAATTTACATATATATACATAGATAGGAAATTATTGTGATTATTTTAAAAGTGTACTTTTTCTCCGTCCACAACTGTATATTCGTATAAGATATATACATATGTACATACGTGATAAAGTGCACGTAGCGCCAACCACATCATACTCTACAGTGGAGTATACATATTCCTATGGACATATATATATATGTAATTCTATACATAAATACAGCGATCGAACTTAGAAATATTCAGCAACTTGCAATAGCTAGGAGACAGAAAATTCCACAAATATAAATAAAAGTATTTTCTAATTGTAAATGTTGACAACATAACAGTGTCCAACAAAGATCACTCTCAGCGAGCATTCACTTGCTGTAATCAACATGCTGCGCAGCAATTTAACAGTACARCGAGCTGTTCACGCATTAACTGTTATATTTCCATGTTAATTGACAGCAACCGCATTTGTCGAATAAGAATACTGTACTAATAATACCGGTTATGGTTTGTTTATGACAGCTTGGCTAAAGCAAAGCGCACCGTTATCAGCACAAATTCCGATGTTATGACTTCTAAAGTCGGCTAAATTTACGCTCTTGTATGGTTTTTCGAAAATGATTGCTCTCTCTCTGAGCAACATTCTTTTTATTTTAAATCCGATATTTCAAAKACTTTTATTACTTGTGACGGAATAGCTATATTCTATCTGTTAAGCGTWGAAAAACATATTGCAAGCAGTAATAGCTTTTAGCGGCTACTAAATAATAAACGATATTTGACTTGTAGCGGTTGTTTACCGAAACCATCTAGTGGTCTCGCTTATACACAATGAAGTTCGAAAAGTTTTCACACATGGGAGCGAAAGTACTCAGAGAGCAGAACTGTATGTGTATGCAAAATCAAATTAGAATTCGAAGTTACCAAACAACTGYGCTCACCTACTCACATATACATATACCGGTGAAGAGCATACCAGTAAAAAGCATGCAGTAGATGCGAGCAAACTTGCATGTGCTCAGAATAAACAAACAGCAAGCATGAGCAATCGCAACGGAAGTTCGAATTTTCGAAGTATGCGCTGTGAACACAAATGAATTACCATGTTTTGAGTGTGTGTCTCTGTGTGTGGTGTTTTCGTAAGTTTTTGTTGCTCCCTATATGTATGCTTGCACTCATTRGCGTTGGCTACAATTCTAACTCTGCTGACTCTCCTCACGTCAAGCAACTCTCGCTTGCACCACCATTATCGGGCACAATTTTYGTGTGATTCTCCAGCATATTATGGCCGCTACAAGGAACGCGCGTGTGTTGTGCCTTTCGGACTGACTTTTCTCTATTGGTATTGGTGCTGCTCATTCGTCTCCAACAATTCGCAGACCATCTCGCTCTCGTCGCACTTTTGCCGCATTTAGTCTTGTTTATGCCGGCTAACATGCAACATAAGCGTCGTCGTTGTCGTGTTTCAAATCGCGCGCAGCAAGTATTGTTATCGTCGCCGTTTACAAACGCCGTAAGTGCAAAACGTTGCCAATCGTCGTCGTCGTCGTCGTCGTCAACATAGCCATTGTATCGTCAGCAGCGTCAATCGTTGTCGCCTTTGTCTGCGGAGTCGAGTAGAGTTGTATGGCAACGTCCTAATATAAAACAAGCGTACGTTCGTTGCTTAAAAAGTGCAAAAACCACTAGTTACTAACCTAAAGAGCTGCGCTAAAAGYTAAAGAGAGTGAAAAAAGCAAGTGTGGAAATGAAAGAAATCGCAAAAAAAGCGTAAATCAGCGGCAAATTGTTCGTTAGTGAGCGTCTATAATTGMAGTGTAAACAGTCGGTAGCCACACACGGGCGCATTTAAGCCCGCAGACCGTACGCCGTACACGGTAAAGTGGTAGTAGTTGCAGTCGCCGCAGCAGCGACAGCAATAGCAATAGCAACAACAGCAAAGTCAGACAAAGCGAACAGCGCGTGATGCATGCGTACGCTTTTGGGCCAAGTCAAGAGCAACGAGATACAGTCAGACGTTTCGGCATCTAGTTACCGCATGCAGTAAAAGCCGGTTAGAAGGAGCATTGAGGGTTAGCGAAATTAAAAATAAGAAAGTGCTTAAAAGAAACTAGCGAATTTATGCGTGTTTCGTAAAAAATAAAAGAGTGCCATTAGATAACCGAGCGAGTGCGGTGGTGAAGAAGTGCATGTGTAATAAAGCAAGACGCCGGTAAGCGTGAGTGCAGTGTTCGACGCGGTCATTTAATGGGCCAACCAGTTTTAATGTGAAGCTGCGAGCCGGCAATAATAAAGTACGCAGATTCAGTGCAAGCGCACAACTTCRCGCTTTAGATTCAAATCACACACACACACATATGATTGTTTGTCTGCAAGCGCTTGTGTTTGCAAGAAAATTCTTACTGCCTGAAGCAGCAAAAGCAAACAGTCTCTAATCGAGTTAATATCAACAGTGCCGGAGCCAGCAAGCACGTCAATAGACTGATAGCGGCGTATGCAAAAATAAACAGCAACAACAACAAACAAAAAGCAAGCAACGTATACACGCACAAGCAGCTGCTGCACGGCAAAAAGGAAAAGTAAATAAAATACAAATAAGAAATTTAAAAGTACACAAGAACAACAATAACACTAAACCGTGCGCTGCCAACGGCTTGTGTGTGTGTGTGTATGTGTGCGCCGGCAGGTGATATGCGGTGATAAGCGCCGGTAGCAGTAACAGCAAGTGCAAGTAACAACAAGAAAGTGCGCTAGAGAAAACATTGAATCAAATGTATGGCAAAAGCAAAAACAAATAAAAATAATTATAAAAGAAAGGTGTGCAAGTTAAACACAGGCGTCAGAAGTTGCTTAACGCACAYAGAGCTAAAATAAAGTGTATGCAAGTGTGTGTGTGCTCCTTGAAAAACTACGTAGATAATAACAATGAAGAARTAAAATAAAAAAATTACAATAAATAGAAAAAAAAAACAAAATCAATTAAGAAGACTATTGCATTGCAACCTAYTTTTGGAAATATTATCGCTGTTTGCCAGCAAAAAAAGTTAAATCAAAAAGTCTCTTAAGTTATCAAACATGTTCTGCGAAACATTTAAAACTGCAGCGTAAAAAGAATCAAAAGTAAAATTTGCAAAATTCTTATAAATTTAACATATCGTTGTAATTTTTGGAAAGTGCCAGCAGTGTAAAATATTAGCCGTTATAAGCGAAATTGTGCAGCATGTGTCAACAATAAATTTTAATACAATTTCATTCCACTGTCTAGACGCCTACATATTACACTTCGCTTCATTTTCGAATTATTAATGCAAACGCGCACTTATATATGTGTGTGTATGCGTTTGTTTGTTTGAGCGGCGCAAATGTTTGATTGGTGCTTTATTAATTTTAGCTGAAATTTTAATTAAAAACAAAACCTAAGAAAAAATCGTGAACAAAAATTAAAAGCGTCAAAATTGAAATGCGAATATCAAAAATTAACACAGAAATAGCATAAAGAAATTAAATGAAATTCAGTGGCCAGAAACGCGAAATTCACATACACACAAACCTACTTCATGAAAGAGAAATTATGCGTCAGCTTTGAAATAATTTATTTAGAATATTGCGGTTGGCATTTATCAGTTGGATATTTTTCCAACTCAACAATAACAACAGCGTGTAAGTAATTACATCGAAACTTGGCTTTATTTAACTTAATAAAGTTCTTAAAATTATGCTAATTTATAAATATTGTAAGCACATTAATTAGTTATTAGTAAATTGTGAAGATATAGAAGAACTTAAAATGCATAGTTGCCTTCTATGAAAATATTMAACAAGTTGTGGAATCTAAACTTGTAAGAGTTAAACAAGATTTAATAAACCTGAGAAAGGTACATCGATAGATCTGCAAAAGCTTGAAACAGCTTTTTGCTTGGAACTTAAAGAGAAAGTAGAGTTCTTCAGCTGATAACTTTGTTTCTCTTTTTTCAATTGATTTTTTTTTGCAGAAATCTTTAGATTTTACTAACTTATTAAAAAGCTGTTGCTATGTTCTAAAAACTTAATTATTAGGTATCGTAAGCCAGTCGCAGCTTAATAAGTAAAAGAAACGTTAACTTCGATTGCATCSAATCAAACTATTCTTCGCAATTATAAAAGATTCCTTACAAGAATTAATTTCGATGGTCGAGCTGTATGCGATCTGAAYAATTTCTTCGGTGATTGAACTATTGCCTTAGATGAGATGTAGCTATATCGGCAAATGAAAAAGCTTTCCRTACAAGCACTTRATTTYGWTCGTTCAGCTTGCATTRGTTTTGGGAAGTGAGCAGTTTTTTGAGGAGATATCTCGAAAACGGGCGGACCCAGCTAATCATGCCGATTATTTATAAATATGTATATCTTAAAGTGTCTCCGACGTTTCCTACTGGATTACCCCAGCGGGCAGGKGTAGAAYTTGCATGCGGTAAGGTATATCGGTAGTAAGAGATGCCTAAAATACATATACATATATACACTATCTCAGTATTTTAGTTTTCGGCCTTCCTCGAAATTCCAGTATAGTTTTTGTCATATACTTTGAATAATATTCCTTCTAATGAAAAGACATTTGAAGTTCAAGCGACAAATGTAAACTATTTTTGAGTTGCTGGGTGTCAACTGGTAGTAGCAAAAGCGGTCTGACCGGAGACTTCATTCTGATACCACGGGCAGTAGTTAGCCCTTGCAGTTCGCTTTAATATACTCATCATGTTTGGCCCTTTTTTTGTTGAATCAGGACCTCCACAAATTGTATTTCAATATGGAGAGTTTGAGCTTTTAAAATATGCAAGTGCCGTTTTCGTATATCAAAATAATAACTACGAATGAATATCGGCGATCTAGGACATYTACCAACATTTTGCTTTGCTCTCTCTTATTGCTATCACTTATTATTATGTCTGCAGTGGTTTGTGAGTTTTCGTTTTTTATGCAATGAAGAAAAAAGTGTCAACTTTTTGTTTTTGTTTTTAAGAACGATTCTATTAGTATGCCTTGCTAAACTGAATCTATTTTATTGAAAAAATTTCGAGGAATATTTATTCTTGTGGTAAATTTATCTATTAGTATTAAATTTAATAAATATATAAGTAGATGCTAAATAATTTTTGAAATGCTCTTAATTTAGTCAAAGTGAAAGCACGCAAATTTAGTCATYAAAAAACAGGCATTGGGCGCAGAAATTTAGAATTTTGTGCACTGTGAATTCAGATCCACYAAATACAAATTTATGAAAATGCCTTACATTTCTTTATCTTTCATATTCCGAACCCATGCAGAAATTTGAGCTTAGCTGCCAAATATTTTAAACAGCATTCTAAAGCTCAACACAATTGTGGTCTCACACACTTGCAGCAGTAACAGATAAAAGTAGCATAAGTCAACATTAATAAAATAAAAAAAAAATTAAAAAAAATAAAAAAAAAAAATTGATGTTCTTAATATCTACTTGTTGGCGAACTCGATATTGTGAATCATGCACTTAACGCCATTTTCAAAACAATTACATTAATCACATTTATTAAAAGTGTTGCCAATAACGCACACAACTGTTTGACAGTGAGCACAGCAGCTGTTTATTAATACAAATTAAATTAAAATAAAACCACAAAATTGGCTTTGACGCTTATACCGTAAACATTGTATTTATGTGAGACAAGAAAAACACTGAGAACAAAGCGCTTGGCCGTAAAACCAGCAGATCAGTGTAGTTATAATAAAAATCTAATTGCTTGCAGCTCGCTATGTGAGCGTTCTTACTCACTTGTGCTTCCAGCGAATTCAACAAGTCAGAGTGTCCACATGTGGCGTGTGGCAAGTGGCGCCCACTCGGCGCCTACTGTAGCTACTGTGTTCACAACAAACCTCTGCCACTCATTACACCCATTCGATACGGTCACACAAGATGTTTTTGCTTTTGTTTGTGTTCGGTTCTCTGTTTTCTTTATTTTCGCGAATACGATCATATCTTTTTTGTTGTTGCAGCAAGAATAAATCTGTTCTGCTTTATGGCGATTTGATTTTTGCCTTTAACCACAGCTGACACCGTTGGACACATTTCATGCTCCACTTTTATTTGCACATCTACACATCAAAAAAAAAAAAAAAATTAAGTAAAATAAAACCAAATAAAATGACTGCGTCATCTCATAATAAGTAAAGCAGTACAACAACAACACATGTACATTTGTGCTTGTTGCTGAGAACCAGGCAATAAAAGTGAGAACTGAATTTCGTGTTTTTTCATCAATTTTTTGCTCTTTATTTTGCTTTCGATTTTTACGTAAGTTATGGGGACAAAGTTAAGGCCATAAGTAAACGAAGTCTTAAGAAGTGTGCCGTAACGTTTATTTTTATACGACAAAGTTTAAATTGTTGGCGGTTTTGTTTTTGTTTCACTTTTTCTTTAACAATTAGCTTGATATCTTGTGGCGCACATTAAGCGTACACATACATACGAGTACATATCTACGTGCTATGTGCTTAATGCGTTAAATTGCCCAAAGTCCATTGTCAACTTACGGCTATAAATGCGCTTGTTTTATGGCTGTTTCTTTTTGAGTACAGTGTTGCCACTTAGATAGTATTTCGTAGCCACTTTCAACTGAAAGCCTGTTAAAGTAAAAAATGTTATGCTTTTTAGGGAGTGTTTTAGGCAATGCATAAAAAATACTGATATTTAAGAAAGGAAACATATTTTGGAGGAATAGCTTACAATTTTGTTTTTAAGAGAAGAAATTTATTTTAAACAATTATGGATTAAACTTTCGGTAGAATATGTTTGAGTTGGATTCGTAAGAGTCAGAAACTAATTTTACAAATTAAGATTATTTTTCTTATACACTTATCTTTAAAATATGTTAAAATTATATTTTATAAAGAAAGTTATATAATATACTTTTCTCCTGCTTTCAATTGAGTCTATCTGTTAACAACAAAATTACAAAAGGCTTATCAAAATTCTTAAAAATATTTCTACAAATCGATTTTAGTGGCAACGCTATTTGCCCAATTGGAATTTTCATGTTCACTAGAAAAAAAATTACCAAACGCCCATAAAAATTCTTAAAATTGTTTAAAACAAAATTCCAATTCGATTTAAGTGGCAACGCCATATGCCCAATTGGAATTTGCKCGACATAGAAGCTTTGGTGCAACTAATTGTTAGATAACAGCGTGCGCAAATTTGCGAATTTTCGTATTTTATCGTAAATAATTAGAATTTCGAGGCCACCGTTTCACAAAGTCTACGAATCTAGCAACATTAAACGTTAACTGTTTTGAATGAACATATAAAGTAACCGAAAGTGCTTTTTTGCAACAATAAACATTTTAATTTTTAATTATAGTGCAAAGAAATTACAAAAAAACTCCGGTTTAAAACTACATAGTTCATAAGTATATGATGATCTTATCCTGGAGACACTTTGACCAACTTCAGCACTTTAAAGGTTTAGCTATTAGCTCTCCATAATCGTATTACGAGTATTCCTATCTTATTTGCCTTTGATTGTATCTCCGATCTGCTATTAATCAACACCACATATGTATGTATATAAATATTTATTACTATATAWGTATATATGTACATATACTATATACTATATAAATGATAAAAAAATAATCAAAATATTCGAAAATGCTCATAAGTCTAAAAAGCCATTATGATTCATATCGTCATAAGATATAACTTTGATAACATATTAATCATATTTCGCTTATATTATCGSTGTGTATGTAAGCATGACTAGGTGAGCTGCAAAATAAATGAATGCTCTTACAATATTCTACATATTTCGTAACGTATGTATTAACTATTGTAAATTAATGAACGGCTAATGGAATTTTAAAAGTTTTGAAAACTTTAGCACAAAAATAGAAATAAAATCTCCAAACTGATTAATGCTTTGTCTATTGATGAGCTCTAATTACAGGATTTTTTTTTGTTTTTTGCTTCTCAAGTAACTTAATCCATTAATCCAAAAGCGGTCAGCATTTTGCTATCAGCCATAGAACCTAACCCACCCTAACCTAGTCTAAAAAGAAAACAAAAGTAAATTTAAATCAGGAAATTGTATCTTCTTATTATGTGGCCTCCTATYTTTTAGCGCTCGACGTTTGCATACTTTTAGCTCAGATTGCTTACGTTTTCGATCCTATAAACACACATTCCTRGTTCTATGTACAAATGTATGTAGTTTCATGCATGCGCAACGATTATGCTAATAGATTCCACAAGCAATAACAAAAACAGTAGCTGACTAATAAGAACCACTTGAAACTGAAACTGGAAAATTGTTTAGATAAAAATGAAGACCAGCAGCGGCAAAAAAACGTAAAACTAAGCGAAACTAGTTTCTTACAGTGATCGGCACAGCGGTGACTCCTCGTCGCCGCTGATTGAGTGGGGTACGAAATATTCAGAAAAAAGTTAAAAATTGTTCATAAATGCGTGTTTTTGTTTATGTGATTGTGCGAATGCATGTTTGTATTTCCTTATGTGTGGATGTCTGTACATGGGTATATGGGGCTTGAAAAATAGCGCTGAGCATGTGTATACAATTTGCTGTGTTATTCTTCTGCTCAGATACATCGCATATATACTATATGTGTGTATATAAACAAACCAAAGTATT